GTCGTCAGCATCACTGAGTGAGCTGGCAGGGGTGGACGTCGACATGGCCGATGTGATCAGGAAGCACCGCTTGCGGTGGCTTGGTCATGTTGCATGGATGAAGGAGACCCGGCTGCCCAAGCAGATGCTGTTCGGTGAACTGCCCTGCAAACGCCCGCAGCATGGTCCCAAGAAGCGCTGGCGGGATGTTGTGTCCTCGGACTTTGCTGTCGTCGGTTTGCCTGAAGCGGACTGGTATGACACAGCGCAGGAGAGATCCACCTGGTTTCAGTGTTGTCGACAGAGGGTCGAGAAGGAAGCCCCAGACATCCCGTGCCCCAACTACCTCCGTGACAGAGTGTTCCGTCGTCCTGGTGACCTCAAGCGGCATGCGCCATACTGCAGATTTCGAGTTTAGAGCCTCAGCGTGAGGAAGCCATCGCTATCATTGCTACGGCAATGGGCGTTCAAGGTTCAAGGTTCAAGGTGTGTGTGTGTGTGTCTGAGTGTGTGTCTGAGTGTGTGTCTGAGTGTGTGTGTGTGTGTGTGTGTGTGTGTGTGTGTGTGTGTGTGTGTGTGTGTGTGTGCGTGTGCGTGCGTGTGTGTGTTCAGCAGAACTGCCACCACAGAAGAACTGCCGTCAGAAAAGAACTGACAGGCTAGCACATCTGATCAAGTATTGAACATGTCTGATCATGAATAGACTCAGAAAAGGAAACATTCAGACAAACAATTTGATTATTATCTTCCCCTTTCTCTCAGAAAGAAGATATTATATTTCCAACAGCACACATTGCAAAACAAGTTCCTCACCGTCCTCTCCACAGTCGATGCTAATCATTTCACTGCTGATAAACCTCCTACCGGCATGATACGTGATTGGATCTGCTTGAGCGGTCCTTGAGCCGACAGCAAAGATGAAAGTATGCTGTCCAACAAGTGGGACATCCTGCATGTCATTGCTATTGCAGGGCATGGCAAAGCTGATAGTGGTCGTGGACTCGTGTACGATGCCACGTGCTTGGCTGACTTGTGACTGTTGGTCAATTTGGGGCCTGAAACGTCCAGTTGCAAATCTGTGTGTACAAAGAACACCACAAAAGCAATGAGAGCCCAATCTGGCAAGTCGTGAACTGAATGCTATCGTGCAAAGGAGAATTCAGTGCAGCACTGACCACACACGTGTTCAAGTGCGTGATCTGGTGACTGTATTGTGTTGATGCCCACTTCATGTCATTCGTGTCTAGTTTCCATACTTATAGCTGTGGAGTCAAAGTAGACTGCACATCACTGAAGAACATACCTGTCCTGAATAGCTGCAGTTCCATGATCATCAATGTAGCCAGTAATGATATCACTGTTTGACTGAAGAAGCAAAGACAAAGATATCAACAACATGCGTATGCAAATGAGCATAATTATCCTCAAACATATCCTCTACTGCATACTCTACAATATTATATTACCCATCAAACAACAAAGCTAGGAATCCATTCAAAGTTTTCTAGAGCGCGGTTCACAATTTTTTCCATTCATCATGACTGCAAAAACGACACTGACCATTCCACCGGATCGCGATATTCCAACACCAAGCCATGGTGTGGGAACGGTGGCCGTTGACAAGACAAACTGGACAATGCCATCAGATGCTGACACCTTCCACATGGCTGTCATATCCGAGTTGTTGAACATGCCTGGTAAAGAAAGACAAATCAAATCAAGAAACTCCACATTGACCCATTGCTGCACATACATGCAGATGAATGTGAATACAATAGTTCATTGCAGGTGTGGTCCATGTAATACTAGACTGAGATTAGTGGATCATGTACAGTGGATGGCTACAGTGGATTCTTCGCACTTTGAGAAATGACATCCAAATTCTTTATATGTCGGATGGACATCAGTGGGAAATGGGTTCATCAAGTGGACACATGACTGAAAAGCATGGAAATTCTGGAAAGCCACTGCCAATTGAACGCAACACTGCGTAGATACAAGCCAACTGGGACAGCACACTAAATACTGGGTGTATGTTCGTAGGAGTCTAGTCGGAGACAAGATAGCATCGTACAGTATTAGGATAAACCAAGCAAAATGATGTGGCAGGACAACCAGTAGCACTCACCATCGGGATTATCCATGGCAGAAGTGACAAATTGCAGTGGACCAAAGATGTATTTTCCTGAACTGTCACGCACGGATACGTCGTACAGCTTATTGGGCTGCAAGAACTCCAACGGGAATGTCGTGAAGTCAGCGGGGAAGGTCAGATCATCCAGCGCTACACCACCAGCAGACAAAGTCACCGTCCAGTCACCACTGTCCCCGGGAGAAGTGGAGAGCTCAACAGATGCACGGGAGCTTGTAACGTCTTTCACATCCGCGGCCAGCACTGCAGGAGGATTGTTTGAAGATCACACAGAGAAAACTTCATTTGCGTTGACACATTTTCTCACTGAATGATCAAGATAAAAAAATGAAAAGTCAAAATGCTCCACATATTATCTTTCTCTAATTCCCTAATTAAGACCAGTACCAATACTCATAGGATCACTGGCACAGCAGTTGAATACTCAAGTCCACACAAATATACACAAACTCACCTTTGCCAATGGTGACGAATTGAAGATGAGGAGTATGCTCTGAATGAACAGTGCTGCCGTCTGTTGCACGAATTCGTACTTCATAGTTGCCAGCAACAAGACTCTCCGACAGAACAAATGTCTTCTTTGAGGTTGACACACTGCCAGCAGATATCCAACTACTGTCTCCAATCCTTCGATACTCAACCTCAAAATCGGAATAGTCACTTCTCTGAGACTCACTCAGTTCTGGCAATGTAATGCTAACATGACTTCTACCAAGGTCAACATCAAAAATGGACACACCACCATCACTTGGCCACATCAATAAATCACGTTGCACTCCTGTGTAAAACATACAATAAAACAACCACGAACATATCCAAAACCAGAACAACGACATCAACCACAACGACGACGAAGACAGCCACATCATCCAAAAAAAGCCAAGCCGCCCAACAGTGGGGGTATGTTTATGCTCAAATTCGTTCAAGGACCAACACTGCTGCTGCAAACTACCCAACAAAACAAACCTAATATGAAATATCTACACGCACAATGAATTAAAGCGTGGGGATAAATTGGGTGAGACTAAAACAAACAACCGCGGGCAGCAAGGACACAATGTCTAAATGGCCACAACACTCATACTCACCGATTGGCTCAGCAGTCAAAGAGACAAACTGGATGGAACGTTGACTTCCATCTGCTAGATTACTTGTGACTATTGTTACATACTGAGAACCACTGACAACACCAGATGGTACGCCGTGCGGGAAATCACCAACTCTCAAATTATCCTCTCTCGATACACTCTGATATTTACCACTGCTCGTGTTGAACAACAGAACTTCTACTGAATAACTGATAGCCAGTGGGTCTACTGATGGTAGAGAGATTGACACAGGTACTGTTCACACAAACACAACACAAACACACAGACACAAACACACACATGATAGCAAAATCCCATAACTTTAATAAAAACTCGGATGTTGAGCCAATAGTAATATGTAAAGAGAAAAGGACCTATAAGTTACTAGTTATGACTAACAGTCCACCTAGGTAACAAGATTATATACAGTTAGATAGCGTGACAACGAGGCACAACACTGACAAGGATATTGAGACATTCGAAGACCTGTCACCTAGCTCCAACACATCTACGAAACGCAAACCAACAACCTTCCAACTTGGAAGGCTCAGGTGCGGAAAATTCCAATTAGGGGAAGGGATGCGCAACAAAGATGTGCACGAGCTATGTCCTTCGGCCACTGTTAGTCATAACTAGTAACTTATAGATCCTTTTCTCTTTACATATCCCATAACATTACATTGCAATTGTGCATCAGAGCAAACAAGAAAGTTTATTGTGGACAGCTCTTCAAAAGGGAACAACCAAACTAATCTCTACATTCACACTTCAATAAGAACACAGATCTTCTAGACTCAAAACACCCCAAAGGGACAACAATACAGACTAAACCCAAAGAAAACTGAACATGCTTGCCAGAAGACTACACTAACTTTTGCCGGTGGTGAAGAATTGAAGATGAGGAGTATGCTCTGAATGAACAGTGCTGCCGTCTGTTGCACGAACTCGTACTTCATAGTTACCAGCTTCAAGATTCTCCGACAGAACAAATGTCTTCTCTGATGTTGACACACTGCCAGCAGATATCCAACTACTGTCTCCAATCCTTCGATACTCCACTTCAAAATCGGAATAGTCACTTCTCTGAGACTCACTCAGTTCTGGTAATGTAATGCTAACATGACTTCTACCAAGGTCAACATCCATAATGGACACACCACCATCACTTGGCCACATCAATAAATCACGTTGCACTCCTGTGTAAAACATACAACCAAACAATCACAAACATATCCAAAACCAGAACAACGACAACATCAACCACAACGACGACGAAGACAGCCACATCATCCAAAAAAAAAGGCAGGCCGCCCAACAGTGGGGGTATGTTTATGCTCAAATTCGTTCAAGGACCGACACTGCTGCTGCAAACTACCCAACAAAACAAACCTAAAATGAAATATCTACACGCAATATGAATTAAAGCGTGGGGATAAATTGGGTGAGACTAAAACAAACAACCGCGGGCAGCAAGGACACAATGTCTAAAAATGGCCACAACACTCATACTCACCGATTGGCTCAGCAATCAAAGAAACAAACTGGATGGAACGTTGACTTCCATCTGCTAGATTACTTGTGACTATTGTTACATACTGAGAACCACTGACAACACCAGATGGTACGCCGTGCGGGAAATCACCAACTCTCAAATTATCCTCTCTCGATACACTCTGATATTTACCACTGCTCGTGTTGAACAACAGAACTTCTACTGAATAACTGATAGCCAGTGGGTCTACTGATGGTAGAGAGATTGACACAGGTACTGTTCACACAAACACAACACAAACACACAGACACAAACACACACATGATAGCAAAATCCCATAACTTTAATAAAAACTCGGATGTTGAGCCAATAGTAATATGTAAAGAGAAAAGGACCTATAAATTACTAGTTACGACTAACAGTCCACCAAGGTAACGAGATAATATACAGTCAGATAGTGTGACAACGAGGCACAACACTGACAAGGATATTGAGACATTCGAAGACCTGTCACCTAGCTCCAACACATCTACGAAGCGCAAACCAACAGCCTTCCAACTTGGAAGGCTCAGGTGCGGAAAATTCCAATGAGGGGAAGGGATGAGCAACAAAGATGTGCACGAGCTATGTCCTTCGGCCACTGTTCGTCATAACTAATAACTTATAGATCCTTTTCTCTTTACATATCCCATAACATTACATTGCAATTTTGCATTACGGCAAACAAGCAAGTTTATTGTGGACAGCTCTTCAAAAGGGAACAACCAAACTAATCTCTACACTCACACTTCAATAAGAAAACAAATCTTCTACACTAAAAACACCCCAAAGGGACAACAATACAGACTAAACCCAAAGAAAACTGAACATGCTTGCCAGAAGACTACACTAACTTTTGCCGGTGGTGAAGAATTGAAGATGAGGAGTATGCTCTGAATGAACAGTGCTGCCGTCTGTTGCACGAACTCGTACTTCATAGTTACCGGCTTCAAGATTCTCCGACAGAACAAATGTCTTCTCTGATGTTGACACACTGCCAGCAGATATCCAACTACTGTCTCCAATCCTTCGATACTCAACCTCAAAATCGGAATAGTCACTTCTCTGAGACTCACTCAGTTCTGGCAATGTAATGCTAACATGACTTCTACCAAGGTCAACATCCATAATGGACACACCACCATCACTTGGCCACATCAATAAATCACGTTGCACTCCTGTGTAAAACATACAACCAAACAATCACAAAATGTTCAGTTCTCGTTGGCTGAGCAAAGTGAAAGAAACGAGAAAGCTAGTTCTCTGTTAATATGTTTTGCACGTGCGTATGGAACGGGTACGAGGGCAGTGTGCTGTGGCTGACAGTGCTGTTGCTGTGATTCTGCAGATCATTGTTTTTCTTCTTGCCAAGTGTGCAGCTGCCCAAAAACATTTTCTCTGTCGTAGTCGTCGTGTAGTGCTGTTCTTTCCTGCTGCCAACATGAGTGGTCGTAAAGTAAAAACTGTGAACTCTGGTCGGGGTAGAGGTAGAGGCAAGAGAAGAGGCGCTCGTGCCTCAGCTGTACTTGAGTTTCCTGACTCCGATAAGGTCGGAACCACGTCGTCGTCGTCGTCGTCAGAGTACGAAACGGCAGTGGAGCACCACGCCTCGGCACCCCCAACTGCAGCTCCACAACAAGCTAGTGCTGCTGTGTCCAAGGCAGCCATGAATTTCACGGATTTCGAGAGCGAGCAAGGGCTCTTAGACATGAAGATCCGAATGCTGGAAAGAGGCATGGCTAGCAGAACGAGGCAGGCAATTGAAAAGAAGACGAGTGGGAAACTCCTCCGATGAAAGGTCATCATCGTCCTCGTCTTCGTCCTCCTCAGAGTCGAGCTCAAGATCCCGCTCGCCGAGGCGAAAAAGGAAGTACGGAACACCCACGGAGCTGAACTGGAAGACGACCAGTTATGCAAAGCAGTTTGCATTGAACGAGGAACTGTTAGAATTCATTGCCTCAATGAAGTCAAAGTCAAAGAGAAGAAGGAGAAGGGCAGCGAAAAAAGGTGAGCGTATACTAAGAGATAGGCAGGAGTGGCTTGTTGTTGCTGAAAACCATGGCCACCAGGTGGCGACAGCTTTCCAAGGAGGTAACCTGCTTGTGGACTTGGTGACAGGCTCCAAAAAGCAGAAACGGCTCCAGGCCGCAATCCAAGCAGAAGGGGTGAAAAAGAAAGTGGCAGGAGGTGTGCATAGCCTAGGTGCGGTCAATGCTAATGTTCAGGCAGGGCAGGGGATGAGGATCCCACCTCGTCCACATCCAGGTCCCATTCAGCATATGCCAGGTAACTTTCGCCCCCCTCCGGTGTGCCACAGATGTGGGCAGCCAGGGCATTTTGTCAAAGTCTGCCCGCAGCAGCCGACTGCCGCTGGCCAGCAAAATCGGCGGCCAATGTAACAATGATACGAACACTTCATGGAAGAGCGCAGCAATATTTGACATCATAGCTATGTTAGATATTTTATTCGTTGATTGATATAATAAGTCAGTGTGGCTAGTTCTAGACTGATGTCGTATTGTGCGTCTTATTTCATAAATTGTGAATACAATACAACCCTCCAAAGTTTGTACAAGAACATTCACTGCGGAAGTTCTGTGTGTCTTTACGGGCTGTATGTTATATCTGCAAATAGCACGGGTGCTACGCTAGGCTGCTGGGATCCTGGATCCGAAGTGCCGGGCGCCAGGTGCCATGTTGTTGATGCTGCTGTGGCTGCTGGTGAGGGGTAGTGATCTGCCCGTTGAGACGCGAACTGCTGCCGAGGGGTATCAGAGAGATGGGGACCGCGCAAGTCGTGATTAGCCAAAGTATTCGGCGACCTCAACCGATTTTCCTGCTCCTATCATGGATAGGGTTCTAAACCCAGCTATGCTTTGTGCGTCTTGTGCAGTAGGTCTGCATTCACCGCATATTCAAATGGCTGCTGTGTGTGATGGGGCTGAGTTTGCATGCTGATGCTCGTGCAAACAAATTTGGAGCAGAGAACACATCCAAAACCACAATCTCAGCAAGCCAAAAACGCCCATGCCCTACAAGCCACTTTATCAAAAAAGCCAGGCCATCCAAAAGTGGGGCAGTGTTCATCTTCAAATTCGTTCAAGACCCAACAGTGCTACTGAAACTTTGTCTACAAAAAACCCAAAATGAAATAGCCTCTACACATGTAATATAGCATGGCAAGTCGGATAAGAATAGAGAATACAACAGTGGGCCCAGACAATTTCAAAGTCTAAACAGCCACAACACTCATACTCACCGATTGGCTCAGCAGTCAAAGAGACAAACTGGATGGAACGTTGACTTCCATCTGCTAGATTACTTGTGACAATTGTTACATACTGAGAACCACTGACAACACCAGATGGTACGCCGTGCGGGAAATCACCAACTCTCAAATTATCCTCTCTCGACACACTCTGATATTCACCAGTGCTCGTGTTGAATAGCAGAACTTCTACAGAATAACTGATAGCCAGTGGGTCTACTGATGGTAGAGAGATCGACACAGGTACTGTTCACACAAACACAACACAAACACACAGACACAAACACAGACATAATAGCAAAAACCCATAACTTTACATTGCAATTGTGCATTACGGCAAACAAGCAAGTTTATTGTGCAAAGCTCTTCAAAAGGGTACAACTAAACTAATCTCTACATTCACACTTCAATAAGAAAACAGATCTTCTAGACTCAAAACACCCCAAAGGGACAACAATACAGACTAAACCCAAAGAAAACTGAACATGCTTGCCAGAAGACTAAACTAACCTTTGCCGGTGGTGAAGAATTGAAGATGAGGGGTATGCTCTGAATGAACAGTGCTGCCGTCTGTTGCACGAACTCGTACTTCATAGTTACCAGCTTCAAGATTCTCCGACAGAACAAATGTCTTCTCTGATGTTGACACACTGCCAGCAGATATCCAACTACCGTCTCCAATCCTTCGATACTCCACTTCAAAATCGGAATAGTCACTTCTCTGAGACTCACTCAGTTCTGGCAATGTAATGCTAACATGACTTTTACCAAGGTCAACATCCATAATGGACACACCACCATCACTTGGCCACATCAATAAATCCCGTTGCACTCCTGTGTAAAACATACAACCCAAACAATCACAAACACATCCAAAACCACAATCAAAACAACAACAACAACAGCAACAACAACAACAACAACAACAACATCAACGACAAAGAAGACAACGAAAATGACAACAAGCCACATCTTCAAAAAAAAAGGCAGGCCGCCCAACAGTGGGGGGATGTTTATCTTCAAATTTGTTCAAGGACCAACACTTCTGCTGGAAACTATCCAATAAATCACACCCAAAATGAAATATCTATACACACGAGGAATTATAGCGTGGAGAAAATTGGATTAAACCAAAAAAATACATACGGGCAGCAAGGACCTAATGTCTAAATGGCCACAACCCTCATACTCACCGATTGGCTCAGCAGTCAAAGAGTCCAACTGGATGGAACGTTGACTTCCATCTGCTAGATTACCTGTGACAATTGTTACATACTGAGAACCACTGACAACACCAGATGGTACGCCGTGCGGGAAATCACCAACTCTCAAATTATCCTCTCTCGACACACTCTGATATTCACCAGTGCTCGTGTTGAATAGCAGAACTTCTACAGAATAACTGATAGCCAGTGGGTCTACTGATGGTAGAGAGATTGACACAGGTACTGTTCACACAAACACACAGACACAAACACAGACATATACACACAGACATAAACACAGACATAATAGCAAAATCCCATAACTTTACATTGCAATTTTGCATCAGAGCAAACAAGCAAGTTTATTGTGGACAGCTCTTCAAAAGGGAGCAACCAAACTAATCTCTACACTCACACTTCAATAAGAAAACAAATCTTCTAGACTCAAAACACCCCAAAGGGACAACAATACAGACTAAACCCAAAGAAAACTGAACATGCTTGCCAGAAAACTACACTAACCTTTGCCGGTGGTGAAGAATTGAAGATGAGGGGTATGCTCTGAATGAACAGTGCTGCCGTCTGTTCCACGAACTCGTACTACATAGTTACCAGCATCAAGATTCTCCGACAGAACAAATGTCTTCTCTGATGTTGACACACTGCCAGCAGATATCCAACTACTGTCTCCAATCCTTCGATACTCCACTTCAAAATCGGAATAGTCACTTCTCTGAGACTCACTCAGTTCTGGCAACGTAATACTAACATGACTTCTACCAAGGTCAACATCCATAATGGACACACCACCATCACTTGGCCACATCAATAAATCACGTTGCACACCTGTTTAAAACATACAATCCAACCATCACAAACACATCCAAAACAACAACCTCAGCAACCAAAACCACCCCCACGCCCTACAAGCCATTTTATCAAAAGATCCAGGCCACCCAAAAGCAACGCAGTGTTCATCTTCAAATTCGTTCAAGACCCAACAGTGCTGCTGCAACTTTGTCTATAAACAAACCCAAAAAGAAATAGCCTCCAACACATGTAATAAAGCGCGGTAAGTCGGATGAGAATAGAGAATACAACCGTGGGCCCAAACAATTTCAAAGTCTTAACAGCCACAACACTCATACTCACCGATTGGCTCAGCAGTCAAAGAGACAAACTGGATGGAACGTTGACTTCCATCTGCTAGATTACTTGTGACTATTGTTACATACTGAGAACCACTGACAACACCAGATGGTACGCCGTGCGGGAAATCACCAACTCTCAAATTATCCTCTCTCGACACACTCTGATATTCACCACTGCTCGTGTTGAATAACAGAACTTCCACTGAATAACTGCTAGCCAGTGGGTCTACTGTTGGTAGAGAGATCGACACAGGTACTGTTCACACAAACACACAGATACAAACACACAGACACAAACACAGACATAATAGCAAAATCCCATAACTTTACATTGCAATTGTGCATCAGGGCAAACAAGAAAGTTTATTGCGGACAGCTCTTCAAAAGGGTACAACAAAACTAGGGCTGAAACGGTACACATTTGTGCTTAGCCCTTTGGTGCCTGACTGAATTTTAGATTTGTCGTAGTTTTGGCTCAATTTTTTGGAAAGCCTATATCTCCGCAACCGTTTAGATGATGTAGCGACAAAAGTATGTATTCTGAATGGCAAGACACAGCAAAATCCGATTTTTGAATTTTCAAGTCAGAAAAATTTACAATAGGGTCAGGGTACTGCGCTGGTCCAAGAACATCTTGGTCGCCAACACCACTCAGCACGCCGAATCCACTACCTCGTCCACGGCCTCCGCCACACGCGCCACGCACGCCACGATCAGCTGTTCCATCAGCTGGCAGAGCTCGACCAGCGCCGCGAGCAATTCCTCCGCGCAGCGCGAGCGGGCACGTCCACGAACTGGCTGCGCTTGCCCTCGCCCTACAGCTTCTTGAAGCTCATCGTCGGAAGTTTTGTCCTCGTCTGAAGAGCTGCCGTTCTCAAGAAATTCACCGAAAACCAAATCATCGTTGAGTCGGTCTTCCTCATCTGATGACGGCAGGTTTCCGTCAGAGAAAAGAGCGTCAGGTTATTCACCATCGTCGTCTTCTGATTCTTCTTCTACAGAGGCATCATCGGCCTCCAGCTCTTCAAACAACTCAAGCGCTCTTGCAGCATCCATGACGGAGGTCAGCTGTAGTGGCCATGAACTGTACTAGTCGAAAACAAAGCGAAACAGCAATGTTTTGTCCATATTGCAGGACGCTTGCGTAGGCTGCCACGCTCGATTGACTTCCGCTGATCTGCGCGATCGTCGTTGATCACGACTCGACTTTTTCAAATGCAACCCCCCTACTTTCTCTATTGCTATCTACAGGCCAGCTACTGAAGGGTCTCTGTACAAAAATCAGGCACCTGCGATGTACGAGACTGGCTCTGTGCTCGATTTTAGTATGCACTGTCAGCATAGGTCGAAATTGACCTACCGGCACCTAAGGGTTAACGGTTAGCTGTTAGCATAACGGTTGGTTAACCGGTTATAACCTATAAGACTGCAACATGGAAACTTCATTGTTTGTTTTTGACGCCATTTGTATGCCTTGTCTGACGAATTTTCAGGATTCTGTACAAAATACTCGAAAATAGGTAACATCCGCTGGGTAGCTAAAAATTGGAGTGCACAATTTTCACCTTACACCTAGTGTGTGCCTGAGGTATTAACTTTGGTGTCCTTCACTTGATTTTCACAATCTTGGGCTCCTTGGAAAGCTCCTGGTGAGAGCAAAGCGATGATACTAGGTTCCATCAAGCAATCTCCACATAATATCAGGTGCAGGAACACAGCAAAGTCGTTTCCAAGCCCGATATGCAAGCAAATCCGTCCCATCAACGCCATTTCACTTTCTTCCATCGCAGAACGCACAAATATTTTGAGACGATAGAACTTCAGGCCGCTACGTCGCTAGCTTGTGCTCAGTCGACTAGTCCCTCCAGAGGCACACAAAAAAGGATTTGTTTCACAAAAGGTGGTAATGCGTATCGATCGAAAATTTGAATTTGCAGAGATAAGAATTCGGTATGCGATATCTCTGGAGTCAGACATTGCAGATATTCGGCGATTGTTGCAATGGAGAGCTCGGAGTTTCCGCTACCACGTAGAGCCTTCGTTTGTTGAATTTGAACAAGAAATGACGGAGTTATGAAGGTTCCTATTTCTCGAAAAATGTTCGAAAAATCGCTGCATAACCGTCGATCAAACGGTTATCCGTTTGTTTGGCCCTAACGGGGGTTCATAACCGGTTATTCGTAATAGCCGTTTCAGCCCTAAACAACACTAATCTCTACATTCACACTTCAATAAGAAAACAAATCTTCTAGACTCAAAACAACAAAGGGACAACAATACAGACTAAACCCAAAGAAAACTGAACATGCTTGCCCGAAAACTACACTAACCTTTGCCGGTGGTGAAGAACTGAAGATGAGGAGTATGCTCTGAATGAACAGTGCTGCCGTCTGTTCCACGAACTCGTACTTCATAGTTACCAGCATCAAGATTCTCCGACAGAACAAATGTCTTCTCTGATGTTGATACACTGCCAGCAGATATCCAACTACTTTCTCCAATCCTTCGATACTCCACTTCAAAATCGGAATAGTCACTTCTCTGAGACTCACTCAGTTCTGGCAATGTAATACTAACATGACTTCTACCAAGGTCAACATCCATAATGGACACACCACCATCACTTGGCCACATCAACAAATCACGTTGCACTCCTGTGTAAAACATACAACCCAACAATTACAAACACATCCAAAACAACAACTTCAGGAAGTCAAAGAACGCCCACGCCCTACAAGCCATTTTATCAAAAGATCCGGCCACCCAAAAGCAACGCAGTGTTCATCTTTAAATTCGTTCAAGACCCAACAGTGCTACTGAAACTTTGTCTACAAACAAAACCAAAAAGAAATAGCCTCCAACACATGTAATAAAGCGCGGTAAGTCGGATGAGAATAGAGAATACAACCGTGGGCCCAAACAATTTCAAAGTCTTAACAGCCACAACACTCATACTCACCGATTGGCTCAGCAGTCAAAGAGACAAACTGGATGGAACGTTGACTTCCATCTGCTAGATTACTTGTGACAATTGTTACATACTGAGAACCACTGACAACACCAGATGGTACGCTATGCGGGAAATCACCAACTCTCAAATTATCCTCTGTCGACACACTCTGATATTCACCAGTGCTCGTGTTGAATAGCAGAACTTCTATTGAATAACTGATAGCCAGTGGGTCTACTGTTGGTAGAGAGATCCACACAGGTACTGTTCACACAAACACACAGACACAAATACACAGACATAAACACAGACATAATAGCAAAATCCCATAACTTTACATTGCAATTTTGCATCAGAGCAAACAAGCAAGTTTATTGTGCAAAGCTCTTCAAAAGCGAACAACCAAACTAATCTCTACACTCACACTTCAATAAGAAAACAAATCTTCTAGACTCAAACCACCCCAAAGGGACAACCATACAGACTAAACCCAAAGAAAACTGAACATGCTTGCCAGAAAACTACACTAACCTTTGCCGGTGGTGAAGAATTGAAGATGAGGGGTATGCGCTGAATGAACAGTGCTGCCGTCTGTTCCACGAACTCGTACTTCATAGTTACCAGCATCAAGATTCTCCGACAGAACAAATGTCTTCTCTGATGTTGACACACTGCCAGCAGATATCCAACTACTGTCTCCAATCCTTCGATACTCCACTTCAAAATCGGAATAGTCACTTCTCTGAGACTCACTCAGTTCTGGCAACGTAATACTAACATGACTTCTACCAAGGTCAACATCCATAATGGACACACCACCATCACTTGGCCACATCAATAAATCACGTTGCACACCTGTTTAAAACATACAATCCAACCATCACAAACACATCCAAAACAACAACCTCAGCAACCAAAACCACCCCCACGCCCTACAAGCCATTTTATCAAAAGATCCAGGCCACCCAAAAGCAATGCAGTGTTCATCTTCAAATTCGTTCAAGACCCAACAGTGCTGCTGCAACTTTGTCTATAAACAAACCCAAAAAGAAATAGCCTCCAACACATGTAATAAAGCGCGGTAAGTCGGATGAGAATAGAGAATACAACAGTGGGCCCAAACAATTTCAAAGTCTTAACAGCCACAACACTCATACTCACCGGTTGGCTCAGCAGTCAAAGAGACAAACTGGATGGAACGTTGACTTCCATCTGCTAGATTACTTGTGACTATTGTTACATACTGAGAACCACTGACAACACCAGATGGTACGCTATGCGGGAAATCACCAACTCTCAAATTATCCTCTCTCGACACACTCTGATATTCACCACTGCTCGTGTTGAATAACAGAACTTCCACTGAATAACTGCTAGCCAGTGGGTCTACTGCTGGTAGAGAGATCGACACAGGCACTGTTCACACAAACACAACACAAACACACAGACACAAACACAGACATAATAGCAAAATCCCATAACTTTACATTGCAATTGTGCATCAGGGCAAACAAGAAAGTTTATTGCGGACAGCTCTTCAAAAGGGTACAACAAAACTAGGGCTGAAACGGTACAAATTTGTGCTTAACCTTTGGGGCCTGACTGAATTTTAGATTTTTCGTAGTTTTGGCTCAATTTTTTGGAAAGCCTATTGTATTCGATATTTCTGAAGACTATTATTGTACCACAAGGAGCGTAACGATTACACAAAAGGCGATCGTTCAAAGCAGGTAACAACAAAGAGCAAACTACGCTCAAAACCAAAACAACAACTGCACCAGCAAGCTCTTTCCTTGCACTAACTACAAATACATCAAAACCAAGCAGCAAAATGCAAATCCGCACGCATGTTTGCCGGAACTGAACCTCCGTAGCGCAGCTGATCATCGCGGCTGCACGGGACGACCTTCCCGCCATAGTAGGGCAAAGAACTATGCATGGAACTAGCAATGAATGCATGCAGCACACCGGCAAGCCGTCCCTACGCAGACGTCTAGTCTAGCGTGAGCAAGGATGAATAGCATGAGAAACATGATATGACACATTACTCCTATGATGCATGCAATGTTTACAACACCTATATCTCCGCAACCGTTTAGATGATGTAGCGACAAAAGTATGTATTCTGAATGGCAAGACACAGCAAAATCCGATTTTTGAATTTTCAAGTCAGAAAAATTTACAATAGGGTCAGGGTACTGCGCTGGTCCAAGAACATCTTGGTCGCCAACACCACTCAGCACGCCGAATCCACTACCTCGTCCACGGCCTCCGCCACACGCGCCACGCACGCCACGATCAGCTGTTCCATCAGCTGGCGGAGCTCGACCAGCGCCGCGAGCAATTCCTCCGCGCAGCGCGAGCGGGCACGTCCACGAACTGGCTGCGCTTGCCCTCGCCCTACAGCTTCTTGAAGCTCATCGTCGGAAGTTTTGTCCTCGTCTGAAGAGCTGCCGTTCTCAAGAAATTCACCGAAAACCAAATCATCGTTGAGTCGGTCTTCCTCATCTGATGACGGCAGGTTTCCGTCAGAGAAAAGAGCGTCACATTATTCACCATCGTCGTCTTCTGATTCTTCTTCTACAGAGGCATCATCGGCCTCCAGCTCTTCAAACAACTCAAGCGCTTTTGCAGCATCCATGACGGAGGTCAGCTGTAGTGGCCATGAACTGTACTAGTCGAAAACGAAGCGAAACAGCAACGTTTTGTTCATGTTGCAGGACGCTTGCGTAGGCTGCCACGCTCGATTGACTTCCGCTGATCTGCGCGATCGTCGTTGATCACGACTCGACTTTTTCAAATGCAACCCCCCTACTTTCTCTATTGCTATCTACAGGCCAGCTACTGAAGGGTCTCTGTACAAAAATCAGGCACCTGCGATGTACGAGACTGGCTCTGTGCTCGATTTTAGTATGCACTGTCAGCATAGGTCGAAATTGACCTACCGGCACCTAAGGGTTAACGGTTAGCTGTTAGCATAACGGTTGGTTAACCGGTTATAACCTATAAGACTGCAACATGGAAACTTCATTGTTTGTTTTTGACGCCATTTGTATGCCTTGTCTGACGAATTTTCAGGATTCTGTACAAAATACTCGAAAATAGGTAACATCCGCTGGGTAGCTAAAAATTGGAGTGCACAATTTTCACCTTACACCTAGTGTGTGCCTGAGGTATTAACCCTTTGTGGACGGACTGTACGAGTTTCGATCTAATAAGATCGAAAGTCTGCAGGCGGTAAAATCTTCGTAACTCCATCGTTTCTTGAGCAAATTCCACAGTGGAAGGGTCTACGTGGTAGCAGAAACTCCAAGCTGTCCAATGCAACAATCGCCGAAGAGTTACGATGTCGGACGCCAGAGATATCGCACGCCGTATTCTTACCTCGGCAAATTCAAATTTTTGATCGATCATTTCGCCATTTTGGGGGAAAATCCCTTTTCGTGTGCTCTTTGAGCGACTGAGCACATGATAATGACGTAGCCGGCTGAAGTTTGAATCGTCTCAAACAGATTTGAGCGTTCTGCGATTAAGGAGAGTGGAACGGCGTTGATGGGACGAATTTGCTTGCATATCAGGCTTGGAGGCGACTTTGCTGTGTTACCACGCCTGATTTGTGGCGGCTGGATAATGGAGATTGGTACCCTGGCGTTGCTCTCGTCAAGAGCTTTCCAATGAGCCCTTGATTGTGAAAATCAAGTGAAGGACACCAAAGTTATGGCATGGTAAAGTTGAAAATTGTACTGACATTTTGTAATTCTGGTGCATACTGTGCTAGTAATCCGTCCATAAAGGGTGGGTAGCTAAAAATTGGAGTGCACAATTTTCACCTTACACCTAGTGTGTGCCTGAGGTATTAACTTTGGTGTCCTTCACTTGATTTTCACAATCTTGGGCTCCTTGGAAAGCTCCTGGTGAGAGCAAAGCGATGATACTAGGTTCCATCAAGCAATCTCCACATAATATCAGGTGCAGGAACACAGCAAAGTCGTTTCCAAGCCCGATATGCAAGCAAATCCGTCCCATCAACGCCATTTCACTTTCTTCCATCGCAGAACGCACACATATTTTGAGACGATTCAACTTCAGGCCGCTACGTCGCTAGCTTGTGCTCAGTCGACTAGTCCCTCCAGAGGCACGCAAAAAAGGATTTGTTTCACAAAAGGTGGTAATGCGTATCGATCGAAAATTTGAATTTGCAGAGATAAGAATTCGGTATGCGATATCTCTGGAGTCAGACATTGCAGATATTCGGCGATTGTTGCAATGGAGAGCTCGGAGTTTCCGCTACCACGTAGAGCCTTCGTTTGTTGAATTTGAACAAGAAATGACGGAATTATGAAGGTTCCTATTTCTCGAAAAATGTTCGAAAAAATCGCTGCATAACCGTCGATCAAACGGTTATCCGTTTGTTTGGCCCTAACGGGGGTTCATAACCGGTTATTCGTAATAACCGTTTCAGCCCTAAACAACACTAATCTCTACATTCACACTTCAATAAGAAAACAAATCTTCTAGACTCAAAACAACAAAGGGACAACAATACAGACTAAACCCAAAGAAAACTGAACATGCTTGCCCGAAAACTACACTAACCTTTGCCGGTGGTGAAGAACTGAAGATGAGGAGTATGCTCTGAATGAACAGTGCTGCCGTCTGTTCCACGAACTCGTACTTCATAGTTACCAGCATCAAGATTCTCCGACAGAACAAAAGTCTTCTCTGATGTTGATACACTGCCAGCAGATATCCAACTACTTTCTCCAATCCTTCGATACTCCACTTCAAAATCGGAATACTCACTTCTCTGAGACTCACTCAGTTCTGGCAATGTAATACTAACATGACTTCTACCAAGGTCAACATCCATAATGGACACACCACCATCACTTGGCCACATCAATGAATCACGTTGCACTCCTGTGTAAAACATACAACCCAACAATTACAAACACATCAAAAACAACAACTTCAGGAAGTCAAAGAACGCCCACGCCCTACAAGCCATTTTATCAAAAGATCCAGGCCACCCAAAAGCAACACAGTGTTCATCTTTAAATTCGTTCAAGACCCAACAGTGCTACTGAAACTTTGTCTACAAACAAAACCAAAAAGAAATAGCCTCCAACACATGTAATAAAGCGCGGTAAGTCGGATGAGAAAAAAGAATACAACCGTGGGCCCAAACAATTTCAAAGTCTTAACAGCCACAACACTCATACTCACCGATTGGCTCAGCAGTCAAAGAGACAAACTGGATGGAACGTTGACTTCCATCTGCTAGATTACTTGTGACAATTGTTACATACTGAGAACCACTGACAACACCAGATGGTACGCTATGCGGGAAATCACCAACTCTCAAATTATCCTCTCTCGACACACTCTGATATTCACCAGTGCTCGTGTTGAATAGCAGAACTTCTACTGAATAACTGCTAGCCAGTGGGTCTACTGTTGGTAGAGAGATGGACACAGGTACTGTTCACACAAACACACAGAAACAAACACAGACATATACACACAGACATAAACACAGACACAAATACACAGACACAAAAACAGACATACACACACAGCCATAAATACACAGACACAAACACACAGACGTAAGCACACAGACACAAACACAGACATACACACACAGACACAAACACACAGACACAAACACAGGCATAATAGCAAAATCCTATAACTTTACATTGCAATTTTGCATCAGAGCAAACTAGCAAGTTTATTGTGCAAAGCTCTTCAAAAGGGAACAACTAAACTAATCTCTACACTCACACTTCAATAAGAAAACAAATCTTCTACACTAAAAACACCCCAAAGGGACAACAATACAGACTAAACCCAAAGAAAACTGAACATGCTTGCCAGAAGACTACACTAACCTTTGCCGGTGGTGAAAAACTGAAGATGAGGAGTATGCTCTGAATGAACAGCGCTGCCGTCTGTTCCACGAACTCGTACTTCATAGTTACCAGCATCAAGATTCTCCGACAGAACAAATGTCTTCTCTGATGTTGACACACTGCCAGCAGATATCCAACTACTGTCTCCAATCCTCCGATACTCCACTTCAAAATCGGAATAGTCACTTCTCTGAGACTCACTCAGTTCTGGCAATGTAATGCTAACATGACTTTTACCAAGGTCAACATCCATAATGGACACACCACCATCACTTGGCCACATCAATAAATCACGTTGCATTCCTGTGTAAAACATACAACCACACAACCACAAACACATCCAAAACCACAATCAAAACAACAACAACATCAACGACAACGACAAAGAAGACAACGAAAATGACAACAAGCCACATCTTCAAAAAAAAAAGGCAGGCCGCCCAACAGTGGGGGGATGGTTATCTTCAAACTTGTTCAAGGGGCCAACACTTCTGCTGGAAACTATCCAATAAATCACACCCAAAATGAAATATCTATACACACGAGGAATTATAGCGTGGAGAAAATTGGATTAAACCAAAAAATACAACCACGGGCAGCAAGGACCCAATGTCTAAATGGTCACAACACTCATACTCACCGATTGGCTCAGCAGTCAAAGAGTCAAACTGGATGGAACGTTGACTTCCATCTGCTAGATTACTTGTGACTATTGTTACATACTGAGAACCACTGGCAACACCAGATGGTACGCCGTGCGGGAAATCACCAACTCTCAAATTATCCTCTCTCGACACACTCTGATATTCACCAATGCTCGTGTTGAATAACAGAACTTCTACTGAATAACTGATAGCCAGTGGGTCTACTGTTGGTAGAGAGATGGACACAGGTACTGTTCACACAAACACAACACAAACACATGCATTTCACACAGCGAATGTTTGAAGCTCACTGTTCTTTATTAAAGTTGGAAGTTCGAAGGCCAAACAGGATCTGTTTGAGATGGCAAGTAATGCTCTTTTCTTCCATTGTGAAAAGGAATGGCATTGAATTACTATGATCATCATGTACCTAAGATACCCAAACTAGCAACCCCTGAGTAAGTGGTCCTGGAAGAAATAAGTGACCTGCATAATAGGAGAAGCACTGCACAATGTTGCTAACACTCTAGAAAGTTTAACTCGGATGGTGAGCCAATTAAATTATGGTGAAAAAAGGAGGACAACATGTTACGAGTTACGACTAACTGTCTGGTGTCAGGTCGCCGAATGTCTCAGTACTCCTTGTCGGTTTTGTGCCATTTTGTCGCACTCGCTGACTGTATAAGATCTTGTTATGTTGGTGGACAGTTAGTCATAACTCGTAACATTTTGTCCTCCTTTTTCACTCTAGAAAGTGTCCTGTTGTATTTGGTAAACCCACTAGTCTTACTCCTATCCACTCTGATCAGCTACAGTATAAGCACAAATACTGGTTGGACATTTTTAGTGTAGCCGTGTTGATCCACAGTGGGTGGTGGCGTCCCTACGGATGCAGAAAACTCGGCCTCTAGCCGAGTCTTACGCGAACCGTGAATTTTGATTCGTTTCCTTGTTGGAACAATTGTCGGAGTAAAATTCCGAATGCACATCAATTATTTACCTATGTATTTCATGAGTGTCATTATTGGTGGGCACTTTCTATTCAGATGAACTACCCTTCTGATGGGTTGCACTAAGGTATTTTCGATAGGGTTAATGAGGATACTGAGTCTTTGAATAGCCCCTCGAAATATTTTTGTGAGCGAGTACTCGTTCAGGAAAAGAGTACTCGAAAGCAGCTACTGTCAGTCAACAAATATTCGGTGCAAATTTATTTTCGGCTATTTTCGGCCTGGGTATTTTTGGCCGAAATTTTTGTTTTGCAAGGTTCAATGTGACACTGAATACAGGCAGCAGCAGTACAGACTGACGTTTTAATGTGGCCAAAATGTGCCATAGCCCTGGGAGGCCGAAATGTAAACACGTCGAAAATGTGTAGACGTACGGTAAGCATGTGAAGGCAGCTGCAAAAACGCGCCTGCACTGTATGCAACGAGCAGGAACTGTTGCTCCTCCACTGCCTGTTCATGCACTGTACGCATAATTTAGGTGGTGGGCAGCGCAGGGGTAAAACATGCTAGGAGCACATATGCAGACTTCAAGTACAAGCCCACGTGCAGTGTGCAGAATTGCCACAACTGTACACAACTCAATGACAGTTTGTAACATGATAGTACAAAGGAATACTCGAGATCACTCGAGTACTCATTCGGTTCCTTCCCAAATGAATGAGAAATACAAGCACTTGTTTCACCCCCTAATTTATGACTAATTGTTTTGCTTGTACAGCTACTGACTACCATGCTTCTACCTACCCTTTCCAACAGAAATGATGCGCAGCGGTTGAGAGTACTCAGATGAGACGGTACCATCCGTAGCGCGTACTCGTAACTCGTAGTTGTCACTCGGGAGTCTCGCCAGCTCAACTGAGGTAGGTGTTGATGACGAGAAGTCCGGTAGGTCAGTCCAGGAGTAATCACCCACAATACGATACTGGGCCTGATACGTCGGGAAGCGCATTCTCAACAAGGCGTGGAGATGAGGTAGTGCAACAGTGACATTGCTCACTTCTATGTCGACATCAGACCTGGACACTGTCATGTGAACATTACTAGGCCACTCAATGAAGATGGGCAGATCACCTGAACAACACACCACAGCAGTTTATCTTCATATATTCTGTGGAAAGTCGACGACCTTGTTGTCCATTGTCTCTGCAATGTTTCCTCGACGTGAATTCTGGCCATAAAGGCGTCCCCCCCTCCCCCCCCCCCCCCCCCCTCTCTCTCTCCATCACTCCACCAAATGTACAGCAATTCAACCGCACACTGCTCGAGTGCATAGTCATGGTGTCATACAAAGTCCAAGGTTTGTGTTACATGTGTACATTTCCCTACATTGAATGCAGTCCAAGCAGAAGTTTGTACACAGAAGTTTCATATTATTTTCACAATCACTTGATTACAACTCGAGGTTCATCGAAAAAAGGTTTTTTGGAGCGCACTACCTACCAGTATCAACATATTGGCTTCACTAACGTCTATCAATGCTTCCCTCCAGCTGCTCTGAAATTTGGACTGTAAAAGCTCTCTATTGTCTACGGCATAATGAAAGCCTGCTGATCCTTCTATGTACAGACAGAACTGCTACCAACGATTAGAAGTAAACATAGCTGTCCTGCTATCTGTAGACAGTACTGCTACTGTCTACTACGGCCTGCAGTGCTGCTACTGTCTACTACGGCCTGCAGTGCTACTACTGTCTACTACGGCCTGCAGTGCTACTACTGTTTACTACGGCCTGCAGTGCTACTACTGTCTACTACGGCCTGCAGTGCTACTACTGTCTACTACGACCTGCAGTACTGCTACTGTCTACTACGGCTTGCAATGCTGCTAGTAATCACAGGCATACATACACTCATTCACCTCACACCAGCATGCAAGAGCATCACACAGACCCAAAACACTCACCTACGTCACCCAGGACATGATAGTCAATATAGTGATGCCACAGGTACTCAACGCTCTCTCCTAGGATCTCCGACACATAGTAGAAGCCGCTCTCCAGACCTCCGGGGACCTCGTAGGGGAAGTCGTGTGCCGCCAGCCCCGCCACTGTGTGATGCAGGTCTTGCTGGCCTGTTGCCCGGTTGTAGCGATAGACATCTACAAGATAGCTAGACGCCGTAGGGTCTACTGTGGTGAGTGGAATGCTTAACGGAACTGGACACGGGTGATTACAAGAAGACAAATAAATTCAAAATTACTCACCACACTACATGTAGTGCTGGACTTCAAACAAGACATTCACACATACCTCCCAGCAACCAACAGCAAGAATGGACCACAAGGTGACAGCTCTAATTTATCTGATCAGAAAATACTGCTCACAGTGGTCTTCACTGTTCATAAAAGCGTGTGTGTGCTTCGCGTGATACATAGCAGGGTGAAGCGGAGACATAAGAACAAGGAGAAACCTGTTCAGAATAGAACACAAATACTGAGTTGACAGGTACTCGCATTACACAAGAGTCCTCACCATTCCTCTAGACTAAGGTCTTCACCGAGTCTTTGCAGACTGTAGCATATTTTACCTGAATCTGGGAGTGTCCCGTATCTCACCACTCGACCAGCATGCATTGCAAGTTTGCAACTAAGAAATATTCACACACACGCATGCACGCACGCACACACACACACACACACACACAAATACACACACACACACAAGTGTACACAGCGCTTACCCCTGACAACATCGCACACTGCTTGATATTGTTCAAGAAAGGTTTCTCGGTAGACATGATTAGCGATGTCTGTTGACGATGAGGTCAGTGGGCCGTAAGCAAAGAGCAGATAGCGAGGACGTGTGGACAGTGACCTGTCATCAGCTAGGTCAGAACTTTGGCAGGGTACGGAGAATGAGATGGTGGTGGAGCCATCCACCACACTGCCTTTGCCATTCTCCACATCTTGTGAAGCATCCAACTGCGGGCGAAACTGACCCTCAGAAAATCTGCAAGAAAAAGATCAGCAAAGAGCATGATAGGGATACATTTAATCAAAACCGAGCAAGACAATGCCCGTCCTGCAACATAGAATCCACCAGTCTCCACTATCATACATGTATACATGGTATAGGACTGAGTACATGGTCAAAAGTTGCTCTGAATCAATTTGTAGTCCCCGATTCAGCACTAACCTGTCTTCTATTCTCACTGCTCCTTCAGTAGATATAGAACCAGTGACTATGTCAGAACCAGCCTGAACACACCATCACACCAACATGCAAATATGCACACGTACATGTACAAACACGCACACACACACACACAACACACACACAAACAAACACACACACACACATGCACACACAAACGCACACAAACACACACACACACATGCACACACAAACGCACACAAACGCACACAAACACACACACACACACACACACACACACACACACACTTGTCTGCGTGTACAGAAAAAACCTTCAGTGCACATGCCACAGCCCATGAGTTAGTTCCACCACTAGCTACATGACGCACATCTCCTAGGCAATCACGTTCATACAAATCAGGACCTGCATGTGAACCGTATGCATGCCAATCTGCATGAACATTTGGACTCACGCACACACAGACAATTGGTGATACAAATGTGCACACACGCACACACACACACACACACACACACACACACACACACACACACACACGCACGCACACATGCACACATACACGCACACACGCACGCGCACGCGCACATACACACACACACACATACACACACAACCACCTACCATGAACACATCATCGGAGATACCCAAGCCTAGCCAATCACCCACAACCTCCGCTGTCAGAGAGAAGAACACGGCCTGAAGCGCAGGGAAGGCTTTCCACTCGGCTGACATACTGGAAGAACTGAACACACCTGCAGCCGCAAGGAAAAACGAGCAGGAACAACTGACATGGTACAGGCACACCCTAAAAACAAAAGGTCATTTGGTGATTGTCAGGCAATGATAACTTTGCAGAGCAGCGTTGGGCTCTCATGTCATGTTCTACTGGGAAACAAAACCAAGACAGCAAGGAGTTTGAAACGAATTCTACCCACTCTACCCACTCTACCCACTCTACCCACTACCCAGTGCATACAACAAGTTGATGGTACTGGTTTAGATTTGAAGTGCTCTGGGAATGGTTGTGTCCACCTGAGTATTGTATTCTGCGATTACTAGCTAGCACCACACCCTAGCAACACCCTAGCAACACCCTAGCAACACCTTAGCAACACCCTAGCAACACCCTAGCTGCAGTGATGTCCACAGCATGTGCCGCGGGCTCTCCATCTCTCGCACTCACCGTCTGGGGTCCCTGGGAACGCCTTTGTACTGAACTGTGTATGTGCCACCTGATGACTGGCGTCAGCTTGGCTGGTCAGAGTGACAACGTATCTTGTGTTGGATTGAAGATAACCCAGCGTGAAGCTGCCTTTGTCGCTGGTCACATTAGCACGGAATACAACATAGCCGCCTGGAGTCTCGGCGACGATCACTTGCGCAAAGGACACTGTACCCAGAAAATTGGCCAGGTTCCGGAAATGTAGCACAGCTGTCGTGTCAGTCAGATTGCTAACCAATACTTGAGGTCCTGCAGAAACAAACACATCGATATACAGTCCAGAACGTCACCGGTTGTACTGGATAGCAAGCCTGGTGATGAATCTCCTCTTTGGAGAGCCTGGTGAGGAGTCTCCTCTTTGGAGCGGTGAGATTGCTCCAACGAAACTTGGAACCTGAAACTAACTGACGTGAAACTGCTGCCCTCAGCCCGCACGATGCCCGGAGAGCCTTACAGAAGGCAGCCCACCAAGCAGCATAGTGCAGTACAAAGCATGCCTCGAGTGGGGAGCACTGTCTCCACTACATACCACCCGGAGAGAATCTGAAATATGGCCCATACGAACGGGCCATGTACAGCTAGTTGCATACACATGATAGGACTTGCCTGGAGGTGCCGCAGTACGGAACGATAGACTAGGATTAGTGTTTCCATCAAACACGGTGATAGTGTAGTTGGTATTTGAGCTTAGGCCAGCTAGCACCTGACTTGTAGAACCCCCACTAATGGTACCCGTTGAGACAGTACTACCATCAGTTGTTGTGATGTCAACTCTCCAATTTGAGCCAGCTGGCACCGACTTGAGGAGAGATACAGTGACTGAGCTATCCGTGATGTCACCGACCGATAGCCCTAAGCAAGACATGGACACAGAGTTGCCATAGCACAGCGCAGTGTTGTAAAGAATCATAATTATAACCCAGGCCAACACCACACACACATACACACTTGACCCAGGCCAACACAACACCCAGGCCAACACAACACATATATGACCCAGGCTAATACAAACACATCTGACCTAGGCTAATACAAACACATCTGACCTAGGCTAATACAACACATATTTGACCCAGGCCAACGCCACACACACATGACCCAGGCAAACACAACCACAACTGACCTAGGCCACTACAAACACATCTGACCCAGGCCAATACAAGCATGTCTACTAGCAATGGACAACAGAGTTCTCAGGTCTTTCTCTATTCGACAGATCATTTCATCCAGCCAATAAATGTGTAGAAGCTGCCCGATCTAGCAACCACAATAATATACATATTGGCAAAGAGCTTTGCTTCGCAGGAATCAACTGAGTGAAACCAGGTAAGGTTGAGACTGTGAAATTCAGAGGAGACTAAGGGCATGTTCGATTGGTAAGGATTGGGATCGGGATCCAGATCTCAGATCCGTCGGATCCTTCAGAGTCAACTGAACACTTTATTCCCGTAGCTATGCAAAAGACGTTACTTCAGTAACGTCTGGCGCTAGCCAGGGTCCACACAGCTATAATTCCGTGTTTGTTTGTGCCATCGGCATGCCTGGCGCTATCCCGCACCTGTCCCGTACCGTACTGTACCATCAAAGACAGCTGGCCACAATATTCAAATAGGGCTTTCAAATGCAAGATCATAACGTGAAGCAACTTGGAAGAATGAGTATGTATGCGAAGTGTATCGGGGGAATGCATGGAGGGCGATAGTTCGGGTTCGAATCCTAGGTTATGTCTAAAAAAATAGGAGAAATGAAAATTTTATAACATCCTTACGCTTTTTTTTTGCCTAGGTCATCAAGGTGGTAGACGGTGTCGTATTACCCTCGAATGCAAAGAGAAAGTTTATTTCTTTCGCGCAGGGCCCTACGCTTTGCTTTTTTGCCTAGCTCATCATGCATGTTATTCGAACAGATGGAAACTTTTTGCAATACAATGATGTAGCCGATCAGTTCGTTGTGGTATAGTTGGGCATTGTAGCCGTCATGGTCGAAGTAAAACACTATTTACATACACAAGCTCGGGGAGCAAAAGTCTCTGTCCCATAAGCTGCCACATACCAACTAAATACAAAACCATGCACTTCACACGAGCTGACTTGTGCGCGTGGCCCTTTTCACGAACCCAGACAAAGGGATTGGTACGAAGTCACTAGATTACACCCGCACCAGAGATGAAGGCGAGAGCTGTGGCCAAAGAACGGCAAACTGAAAAGATGCCTGGCGCTGTCCCGTACCTGTCCCGTACCGGACCATCAAAGACAGCTGGCCACAATATTCA